TGAGAAACTTTTATTATCGGAGATTTGGTCAGGAACTCATTGGTAAAGTGTTTTACTGTGATCAAAAGTTGGAATACCAAAAAAGTATATTTTTTTCTGAATTTTAACCACAAAAATGCACATAGCTAAGTCTTTTAAGACAAATTAGTGTATTTTTAGTCATTTTTGAGAAACTTTTTTTTTCCGGAGATTTGTTCGGGAACTTATTGGTATAGTATTTTATTGTGATGAAAAGATGGTGTACACCAAAGGAAGGGGTTGGGATGAACACGACAGAATGGACAAAAAATACACTCATTTGCCTCAAAATAAGCTTAATCAATTTTTACTGTTTAATTTCCAAAGAAAAGCCTTTGGTACATCAAGCTTTTATCACAGTAAATAATACAGGATAACAATTCCTGAACAAGTTTTCAGAAAAAAAAAAAAAAAAAAAAATTTAACCATGAAATTTATTTTTATTTTTTCTGAAAAAACAACCACTAATCAAAACACTATGCCAAAAAATTCTGAAAAGTCTTTGAAAATTATTCCAAAAATGTGTAAAATGTACAAATTTGCCAAAGTGTAGCCAAGTACTTTTTTTTTACTAATAAGGTTTAAAAAATATACTTCAACACCAACCAATGATCCAAAGTGACATACTATAATAATTTATAAAAAAATCATAAAAACTAATAAAAAATATAGTAATTTGCCTTTATTCAATTTTTTTGTTGCTAGCATGGTATATACCACCATGTATGTTTGTCATTCGTATTTATTTGGTGTCATATGTTGTCCATGTTTAGCTAAGGTGTTTAGCTAAGGTGTTTTCTACATATTTATGTTCCTTTTTCCTATTTGTTTTTGTTTTTTTCTTTAGTATCCTTTTTTGTTTGTTTCTCCTTGTTTCACCTTTTGCCACCATGTTAATACGACTTGCCTGGTTAAATAAAGAAGACATGTCGTAGCTATTTGGCTATATTTTAGTTCACATAGATATCTTTTGGCTACTGTGTGGATACAGTTTTGTCTTAAACATTTTTGGTAAATGACATTTTCTATACCAGACTCATTTACTTTTCTGCCACTTGGACATTTCAAGGGTGGGGTGTTTGCGTGTTTCCTATAAAAAACAGTCTGCCTACCTTGGATACTCCTCTTGAAGAAGGCCTTGCAGCCTTCGCAGGACCACACGCCATAGTGGTAACCAGAGGCATAGTCGTGACACACAGCACAGAAGTGCATGTCAGTTTTAACCAACATGGACGATGAGGAAGAGTTCACACCTTCTCCACCTTCTCCTAATCTTTTCCCCACCAGCTTGTTACAGCTGAGGATGGAACTGAAAAAAAAATACACTCAGAGAGGGAGAGAAAAAAGGAGGACAACTTGACATTTACAATGTTATCTCGTCATTCATCTGCCATTATTCTGCCAACGGCAGCAGTGTTCTTCAAGATGTCGCCAAAGTCCTGTTATTTTCAAATGGACTGTATCACAAATCACACAAATTGAAGGTCTAACGGCGATAATGTTGTCAATGTTCACTCTATCAGCTGGTAATAATAATAATAAACAGTTCAAACTGTTGTAAACGAACAGAACCAAGGTCATTTTGGAAATTTCTCTAATAAAAAAGAAAAAAAATTTAAATTAAAATTTTTGTTATTAGTACTTATATAAACTCTGTTTACTTTTACATGAGTTGCAGAAAACCAATTCTAGGTCACTTTCTAGTTGCCTTTTAAACTATTACTAGGTATTACTCATAGTAAATAATACAAACTATTATTGGTAAAATTACCTCTAGTACTTTAGTTTTGTCCATCGTTGGTCTAAAGTATTGTTTTGACATGTACTTAGTTATTTTTCTTTCCTACGACTACTACTAGCTTGACCATGATTTTTTTCAATGAGCAGTTAAAACAAGGCAAAGACAAAAAATTCTACAACTGTCGACAGCTCAACGGAAAAGTGTTTATTTTTTATTTTTAGGCCATTTATAGTGAGTTTCTGGCAAAGTTTGTTGCCTGTAGACTGACATTTTGAGGGCACTCTTTATCAAATTATTTTGTTTCAAAGAGTGTAAAAAAACTCAATATAAATACAGTAAGTGTTTCTTGACAAGTTGCTTAGTCAGACCACAGGCCTGACGAGGACCATCACTCATTTTAGTTGTTGTCCAAAATGTTGAGTGTGAAGGTTATAAGCTTCGGTATTTCCAGTTTCTCAGAATTTGAAGCTTTGTTTATCTAACTACTCTAGGTCACTTTACATGGATCAATGCATCATGCTGGTAGAAAAACCGGTCAGGACCATACACCCTACCTGCTGGGGTTGATGCTGTGGGCTTTAGGCTCCATCCACGAGCACCCGTGTGGACTGGGCTCATTATAGACGAGTGGCTGAGGGCAGCGTAGTGTCAGAGAAGATATGTTGGCGGGTCCATGTGGGGGCCAAAAAGCCGTAGGACTGAGGGGGCCACACACCGCTCCCTGGCTGTCAGTGACAGGTGGCCGACTGTAGCTCAGTACCGGTGGACCATAGAATGTCAGAGGTCCGTGTCCAAGGTTGTACTCATGACCACTGTCAGTGTACGGAGATGGGATGCAGACAGTGTGAGTATCCATGCCCAAAGGAGGACTGTAGACAGCTGGCAGCAAGATAGGGGAATTAGGTCTCTCTGAGGTTTTGCTGGAATCCACCTCCTGGAGCTGTAGCAGTGGGAGAGGGTTAGGGTCTAGGTCAGGAGAGGAGGCCATGTCTGCGTGTGTGTTTGTTTGTGGCACTGACGTTAAATGTTAAGCTGTAGCTACTTCTTCTTCTGTTCTACTGTTAAACAGAAGAAAGGTCCTGTACAAACGACAAAATAAACACAAATCAACACAAATGCTACTAAGACGGCAAAGCTAATGCTTTTACACAATCCTCAGGTTAGTAATGAGCAGTGGTGGAGTGGAAAAAATACCACTCCACCACTATAATACCAGTATAAAGATAATGTTAGCAAGGACTCAAGGTTCTTTATTGTCATTACAACACGTTAGACATGGGATGAACAAAATTAGTTTCCCTGGTCCCGGATCAAGCCCAAAGTTACAGAGAAGGAAGAGTTCAAAGAAAGAAAGTGTAAATTGTGCGTAGAACAAAAACAACAACATTGTGCACAAAACAACAAGAGCAAAACCTGGATTGAAAAATTGCCAGCAAAGTTCCTGTAGACTGATATGTAGCCTGAGCAGGTAAGTATAGGTTCAACAGATTTAAATGAACGCAGCAATAGTTAAAAGTTAATGGAGAACAATATTATAAATAACCTTTTGCAGCTATCAAGACACTATTAGCTATGTAGCTAGCTGAAGAAATTTCCCATATATATTCAAAGATAAGCAAACATGCAGCTGAACTACACTGCCTGGCCAAAAAAAAAGTCGCCACCAAAAAAAGGGTCATACACTCTAATATTTCGTTGGACCGCCTTTAGCTTTGATTACAGCACGCATTCGCTGTGGCATTGTTTCGATAAGTTTCTGCAATGTCACAAGATTTATTTCCATCCAGTGTTGCATTAATTTTTCACCATTCATACTGGCTGAAGGTTAGCACAAACGGCTAATACCAAAAGATACCTAAAGGTTAGCAAACAGCTAAACAAATGTAACCAACAACCATTTTCTATAGAAAGATCAGTGTAACCTGTAGGTCCAGATCTTGTCAATTCAAGTCTTCTGTTTGACCTTAAATCAAGCTTCACTACGTGGTTCTGCCTTCATTTAGTCTAGACTGTATTAGAGTGTCCGGCAGGTTTATCTGTTGTGACTTAATGTGAGTTAACACCAGTGCTGTTAGCAACATCCAAGGACACTTATGAAACCACAACACACACCACACACTGCACAACTACATGGTGAAGGAGAGATGTATTGATTTACCATTAGAAATAACAAAGATCTGTCCGATGACTGATGTTCGCTTATTTATACTACTATACTACTTTCCTTCTGTAAAATTAATTTATGTCCTCTGCAGACAGATGCTCTATGGAAACCTAAACACAATTCACAGTATGTTTAAAAAGGTCTACAGAGGTTGTAGGTCAGTTGGTACTGGGCTGTGATAAAATAATAAATTGGTTTAATTTTATTGATTTTCAAAAGGTAATTTTTTTTCCCCCATTTATAATAAGCCAATTTTCAATCCAAAAAAAAGTTGATTGACAGCATATAGGTTAAATAACATTTTTTAACCTATATTTATCTGTGGATTTTTTCATCTTATCGTTCTTAGTGCGTTTTACGGTTTGCAATTTATAAAAAAGAAAAATGAACACATTAAAGTCTCATAAAACAATTTGGCATTAGATGCTCAATAAACAAATTAACATGTACAAAATAAGTGGCTTCTCTTTCTGTCATAGGCCGCGGCGGTCAGGGTGCGAGATCGTTTTGGACATGTTTGGGTTGGTCTACCTGGTTGCTCTTTCTTCTCGCAAGATCTCGCTGGTCTGAGAATGAAGAGTTCGTAAAAGGTCAGTTGCTGTGAGGTGAGGGCAGGAGACACAGGACAAACATCAATCAGGTCAGTCGCATCATCGATCAATGCCGCAGTGTCACAAAGGTCGGGTCATGTTGTCCTTTTTTAAAACAAGTTCCAAGATTTGTGTTCTCACCGCTACGCTTTAATCTGTACCGACTCCAACGTCAAACAGACTGAAGGGAAAACATCCACTATGTTTTTAGGTCATGGTTCAGATCAGCTGCTTGTTCCTGACCCTGCAGTCTTTTTCTGGCTGCTGGTACAATTCCTGGCATTTGTTTGATACGTGTTGACACAAAAATACAACAGTTTATAATGTAAACTCAAGTAAAATGGATAACGTTTAAATTTCTATTTTATGGTTGTTGATCATCACAACGAGACTTCAACAGTATGACCAACTCAACAGACTGTCAGTTGTTTGATCAGGGCAATCACACTAATGGGATTAACACACCACACACACACACACACACACACACACACACACACACACACAAAATCCTATCGCCTTGTGCTAACCTTTTATGGGTATGATAATTTAAGCAGATAAACTGACAAAAACAGGATTTCTACACTTGGACATCTTTGATGTCTTATGTAAAATACACAATTTCATGATTTCGTCACATGTTCAAAAAACCAAGGCCTTCATCTTGCTAACTTGTAGCTACCTGTGGCTAATATGTAGCTATATTTATCTTGACTTAGTCTTTTATGAGATTGTTTTGGCTCGTTTTTAACATTTTCTACGGCATATTATCTATTACCTACTGGTTATGTTTATTGGTTCTTCTTGACTTTAATTTTAGGAAAACTTTGCACAATCCCTTATTAATAAGAAATAGAGTTACATTTTACAGTTCAAGAGGCAAATAAGATTATGTCAGTGGTATGGGGGAAAAAAAAGATAAAGTCTATTACTAGACAGGTTTTAATTAAACGATTGGACCAAACTCTAGCAGTACTGGAATGTGTCAGCCGTTTTAGTTATATGTATGTAAAACAACAAAACCAATACAAGACAAGTGTAGTAAAATAAAGAAAGTTGCTGCCTACACTCTGGACTGACATTTCTCACGTGAATCCTTTTTAAAAATTTAGAAAATTAAATACATTTTTAATGAATCACCATCTTTCAGCTTCGCCTAGAAAAAGCTTTGACATTAAACACTGGTTTAAGAAAAAGCAACAATGACAGCAGGAGAAAAATGATTCTTTTAACATTTCACTTACTCTGTGAGGCTCAGCAGTGGCTCTACTTTTCCCGACACGCAGATTTATTATAAGATAGTTTAGTCGGAGTGTGTGTGTATGTGTGGTTTGAGCTTTGGACACTCTGGTGATCATGGCACAGGTCCATGTTTAACCAGACAGGTGCATAAGAGGTCAAAGGACAGAGCGTCTGATTGTAACGTTGTCAGTTTCATTCATTTATTAAAGAAAGATTAAATATTTTAATCAACTCAAAGAACAAGAACTTTAGTTCCAAAGGTTCAATAGATGCCATAATAACTAACTTAAGGTGACTCTCATGGGAGCGGTGGAATTTGATCAAACCACCTGATGACAGTGCTACAGACACCCAATGGTTGTGCCTAAACCAAATCAAGGTTACTCTACAACTACCTGACTTCCACTAATACCCTCTGATGCCAATGTCAGAAAACATCCAATAGTGGCGCTAAAGTCACCCATTACACCATTCCAGATTCACTTGTGGTTTTGGAAAAACAAGAAATTCAGGCCAACTACACTAGCACGCAGCATGATCGCTCAAAGGTTGGTGAGGCACCCGAAAACACACACACACACGGACACACACAAAGATATTAAGATGGGTGCAGTTTAAGCTAAGCTACCTAAACGTTATTGTCTTGATGCAAGTCCTTTTTAATCAAGATGATCTTTTTTCTGGTTTCACCAAAACCGGTATCTTCAGTTAAGGCAATCATGATCAAAGTTCCACCATAAGACATGACTCATCCATGAACGATCAGGGTGTAAACCTCAGGACAGAGTTCAACACTGCTGCCAGATGACATCACCAAGTCAAACGGTAGGCCTGCCAATTCTTGGCAGACGTCTTAGAGACGCCTTCAGGCTGAAATATCTGACCATAAAAACCAGGCCACAAGACCAAATCTCAAACAAAGGGAGAGAGCTACAAAACAATGTGGAAACACCGTGAAAAACTTCACAGATGATGGACAGACAGGTGGACAGTGGAGAAGACTGATGTTGGTGGTTAGAAAGATGAAAGAGCAGACACACTGATGGTGGCTGAGGATACACTGGTGGACATTAAGACGATCTACTTAGGGGTGTTGCAGGACTGGACTGGACAGACCTTCAGTTTAGCCTTGAGTGCTGCCTTAAAAAACTAAATAACATCCCAAAAATAGAGTGGCAATGAAAATCATAGAAACAGCTGAGTAGCTGAGTGGCTGCCACAGCTGTGTCAATTTTTAGTTTTTTGATCATATGAAACTGTAGGCTCTTCAGAACAACAATGGACAAATACTGACCCCGAGTTATTAAATACTCCTTAATAGAATATTGGCAGTAATACTTTTATAAGAGGTAACTGAGGAGAATAACGTACAACAAGGATTTGTTTTCCCCCAAAAGGAATGTTAGTCGAGACATGAAATCTCAAAAATATGACCCCTGAACCAGAAGAGATGAGATTGAAGTCTGAGAGTTCCCAGAAACACAAACAGACTCTACAATAAACCAACTACACATTCATTCTCTGGACAAAGAGATGCAAACATTAGGAATGAGGTTCTAAAAAAATACCAGGTAAGAATGACAGAACTCCACCAGACTTAAGGGAGGACGGGAAGGTACTATACATAGGTATTCCATATCCACCATGCCTGAGGAACAAAGACAAACGTAGAAAAGAGAGATAATATGCCAATTTAGGCTAATGTGTTACTAAATACAGGGGGAGGATTTGAGAGAAATCATGGTGAAAAAGTGAATGAAAGCCAAAATAAAAAAAACCTTATAAAATATCATATATATATATATACACATGTCCCTCGCTTGGTTATTTTACCCATTTTTAAATAATATTAAATGTTTTCTTTAAAAAAAAATAATATGATCAATGCATTGTTTATATCTATGTTTTTGATTTTTGATCTTAATTTAATTAATAAATACCAATTTCTGAGGAGATTAAACAAAATTAATTGTTTTTTTAGTTATGTTTAATATAATATACATATACAATTAAAATAATACTGGTGTTATTGTAAAGGTCATATATAATTGACCATTAAAATAACTTTAAAAATAAATCATTTTAATTGATATAAACGCTCAAATGATAGTTGAAGTTACTCAGCAGCAGACACAAAGAATAACCATAAAATTCAGACTCAGCTCATCCTCCCTGTGAGCCTTTAGAAAAGGAAATAGAATGAGGAGGAGGAGCAGGAGGAGTAGTAAAAGAAAGGAGAACTCAGTTAAAGATGTTGGTGTGTCAGGAGGATGAGGGAGCAGCAGCTCCAGATTACAGCAGGTGACAGGCTGATTACAGTGTGGAGGATTTAAAGTCATTTCAACTGTCGCCTGTCACTGTTTCAACTTCCTCTCACCTGCTGCACAACCGAACTAACTTTAAAAAAATCATAATATGTCTTTTCAGAAGTTGTCATATTCTCCTGTTCAGCCTCAGAGACTTTAGTGCAGACAGACTGATACGTTATCATTAACTTAAATGATGACAACAACAGGGTGGGTTTTAGCTGGATCTTAGTTGAACAATCGCTGACATTTAGACATGAAGCTAATTTTACTTCAACTCAACTTTACTACAAAATCTCAGCTGACACACACTGTTAACAGAAAAGAGTGTTCAGATACCACTTCACAAAAGACACCTTTGAAAAGAATCAGCACCTGTGATCCTTCACCTATACAGTAGATTAAACTTCACCACCGAGGAGCCTTGTGACTGGAACTGAAGCCTAAAAAAGTGTTTCTCTACAACACCAAAGTCCATGAAAAAAAATCAGTGATTTTAGCTCACAGACCAAAGTCCATGAAGAAAATCTGTGATTTTAGCTCACAGACCAAAGTATAAAGATAAAATCAGTAATAAGAAAACTCTTTCTCACCATGGTTTTATCAAAGCTCACATCAGGGAGTAAAAAACCCCAAAGCCACATTCCATCACTGTTCCACAAACTTTCTTGCACACCAAAGTCAATCAAAGCATCCTGTTTGTCTTCTTCTGGCTGACGACAAACTTTGGTTGTAATACTGCCACCTACAGGCTGAAGTGTGTGGCTCCGGTGTTACCAATGAGCCTGGAAGTAGGAAACTGAAAAATAAGCGATTAAATGTGTGTTTTGTTTGGTTTTTGAACACCTTATTTGGTTTATTTACTCATTTAAATTAATATGTTAATGTCCCTGCCATTAATTGGACCGTTCAATTATAAATGTCTTTATGATGAACATAGTTTTGCTTTGTGTATGTTGTTAGACCACAGTGGCTAAAGTATATTATTATATTATAAATTAAATTAAAATCACATTTGTTGAATGTGCTCAGAGTATCAGGAGTACTGAGAAGGCAGATGTTACCTCCCTTTGCCTCCCTCAACTGTACCTTTGCTTCTGAAAGTGTTCTATTACAGTACAACATCACCAGGTCACTGAGACATGACGGAAAGAAAGGATAAAGAAGATCTGGCCTCCCCAGCTTCACACAGACCAGCAGGACTGAAACCAAACCATGTTCACTGGCTGATCCAGGGGAACGTTTCCAACTTGACTGTGATTTATGGAAGTCCAGGGATTTGTCGTGAGCTGACAGTCGTGACAGTCCAAAATATTTCTTTTTTGTTTTAACTGTTATTTCAAACGGTAACCCTCCTCTTTTTGATGCAAAAGAACCACAGACGTAGCTAGTACTGGTTATGGTGGCAGCTCTGGTGAAGAAGGTTGTAAAAGTAGAGAAACTGTTGAACATTGTGACCTTGGAGAAGTTTCGGCGCCGGCCGGCGGAATTCTTTTAAGCGTGGGTGAAACCAGGAGAACGGAAAAAGACTCGGCTGATTATTTATGGTTAATGTCAAGACTTCCCTTAAAACACACACACACGTGCACACACACACATACACTGGTCACTCCTACACTTCAGTTGTTCCTCTGCAGTGAAAAATAACTGTGAGCCCTGAGAGTTAATAAACTGATATCAGTCACAGTTTTTGTGATTATGTCTGAGTTCCTTAAACATTTTTGGTCATATTTTTTTAAATCTAAAAGGAGTGTTTGTTTTTTCTAATCTAAATCTGTGTCTGTGTCTGGGGCAATTTTTTCGGATATTCCATGTTGTTTTATTAGGGACAACGGTTAGCTGTGCAGGCTATCATTTATATTTTAACCACGTGCTGCCAACTTCTACCGCTTTTGTTTGGCTTGTTTTGGTTAAATAATTTGTGGCAGTTTCTACACCAAAGTTTAGTTTGAAATGTGGTTTTACCTGTAAATAGACCTGGTTTTATTTTATTTATTTATTTTTTACTAAAACTTTTTTACTAAAGCTGACAGGACTAGTTTTTATGTAGATTTTGGCTCATTTTTACTTGTAAACGGGGTGTTTTTTTTAAGGACAAACTCATTTAGATCTACAAAAGTCAAGTTGTAAAAACTGTTTAGATACACGTTATATGCTTGAGCGCTAACACTTCACAGGACCAATCACATAGAAGCACAAAATCAGCTTAATCTCTGTTCTACTGCTCCAGAGTTTATCCTTTAACACAGCAGACACTTGAACCGCCAACAGTACAATCATCTGGTTTCCCTCTAAATATTCACATATGGTTCAAATCTCATCAGTCTGCTGTTCCGCCTCCATTAAAGAAGAGCATCCTGCTAAAAACACCATGGTAGCTCATGAAGATGATTTGTTGTGAGCCCCCCCTTCTAGAAGAGGCATCAACAACAATTAATTATTCATGCTTTGTTTTTTTACATTGACAGCTCAGACAGATTTGGGATCATCAGTCTTGGATCTAAATTCAATCCAAGAAAGATTTTTTTTAGAAAGGGCTGCAGTGGATAAGTGACCAGACAACACACACATGATAAAAGCCTACTGCTTTTTACTGCATGTGATTGTGACCCTTTCAGTACAGATCTGTCTCTGGAGCCAATTTGTGTTCAGTGATGTCTCAAAAATTTCATGGGGCAAAACATTTTCTGCATTTTTACGTTCAAGATAAACCTGAAACCTGAAAAAAAATAATATTCTGAACCTTTTTGTTAAATTTATGATAAAATGACAACTAATATTCTGAACCTTTTTTGTTAAATTTATGATAAAATGACAACAAGGACAGAAATTAATTCAATTGATAATAACTCAACTGTAAAGATCCAGATTGCATGCAATCTACTAACGGTCCGCATACCCCTAATTGAGAAACACTGACTTCGCCCACGAACATAGACAGGGTCACTCAGGAGTGTAGACCAGCTGAGTTTGGAGATTTGGTTAAAGGAGTGCAGAGTGAGACAGATTTGAACACACACTGAAGACACTGGATTTTCGACACCCGGTTGTGCACAGATACGGTTCTTACCTGCGTTGAAATGATCTGATCTCACGTGCACCTGTTTCACTACTCAACTTCTCGCTGCTCGTGTTGCGACCACAACAAACTCCTGCGGGCGCTTCTCCTCCGCCTTCTTCTTTTCGCCGTTTCTTTCCAACTGATAACAAAAATACGAAAGTTAAATTAGTTGACTGGTGTCTCTGTGCTTTTACAGCAGCTGCTGTAGAAACCGATCGGAGATCAGCTGAAGAAGAAGCCCCGTGACAAAAGTGCACACGAGTTTAAATACAAGTGAAGAGCAGGCAGGTGGCGCAGTTGCTTCTGTAATTATTGTTGTTGTTTATGTGGGACTGCCTTCATCTCCGTCTCGTCCTCAAGTCTGTCCACTGGCTTTCTTCTGTCATTCTGTTTTCCCTTTACCTCCGCTCCGTGTCATTCTGAAGGCGTGCTCTGCTGTGAGGCGTCATTGTGACGTACGGTGGCCCTGAAGGTCAAAACCCATCAACATTTAACGAAACACAATGACAGTAGAGGAAACAACGACATTAGAGAAAACACAACCACATTTCACGAAACATAACATTTCAGAAAATTACAGGAAGGGTAGGGACAAGATGCTTGATTCTAATCCGGAAGAACCTGACAGTCCAACGTCATTTGCCGTTTCTAATTAGCTGTGTCCACTGATCCCACACTCAGTGAATAAGATGTGTCTCTGACTGTTCTGAGTGTGTTATACTATGTCATACAGCACACTTACTTATCTATGAAGTCATTAATGAAATAACTTTACTCCCCCCAGGGGAGAAGGGGGGCTGTAGTGCTCAACATACCACAGCCTTGCCTGGCTGGGTTTTAAACCAGCAACTCTCTGATCACAGGCCTGATTCTTTGACCACTAGATCCCAGCCTGCACTCACTCACCCATCACTCTCTTTCCATTTCCCTATCTATTCAAATACAAAAACATGTTTTGATTCTTAGATTCTATCTCTGCCTGCTTCAATTATCATCTGGTAATTCTATTTGCTATGTTATTATCCAAAACACACACACACTCTCTCCCTCCCTCCCTCTCTCTCTCTCTCTCTCTCTCGTTGTAGAGAATTACATGATACCAACCTGAGGATATTGCCTTGAAAAGAATTCCTATCCTATCCAGTGAGGGAGGAACTGTGTGTTCCCCCTGCCCACTTCTCTCTTTTCCTTGCTTCCTCCCTCCCTCTCTGTATGTGTGTGTGTGTCCTCTGCTCTCCTTTAACCTTTAGTCCAGAAAAGAAACAGGAGGCAGAAAGTGAGCGAGAGAGGAGAGGAGAGGAGAGGAGAGAGAAGAGTTGGGTAAAGTTTTCAACGAGCAATAATCGTGCCTCGGATAAATCTCATAAACGACGATACTGCCATGAGAGAGAGAGAGAGAGAGAGAGAGAGAGAGAGCACTGAAATGCTGTACACTTTAAGCAACATTATCCAAACCACACAAACCACACATTCTCTCTCATCAAAAACCATAGTAAG